ACGAAGATTCCACAGAGAATAATCCCAATTTGGCTCGTCTCCTCCATACATCACGCAAATTCATCGGCTTTGTCCCCGAAGGAGGAGGGTGACGCCTCCTGGAGGAAGGAAGGAAGGAAGGAAGGAGCCATCGAATCGTGGAATCGCGGAATCTCAATGTACCGAGGAGGGTGTAATCGGCAATTCCTCGTTAGAAATCCTCTCCGACGTGCTCTCGTCGCCGACCGGGCCGGTTTCAGACGTTGATTAACCATGACATCGACGATTAAATACGCCAGATAGAACACACAGGGGGACCGAAAGACGAAGCCCCTTGAATTACGCCCTATCGTTCACGATGGAACGTTCCATCCTCTCCCTAAAATTTTCCTGGAAATGGAGGAAGGGGAAGGGGATCGAATCGAATTAGCAAGCAAGAAGGAAATTTCGTTTCGTTTACGGTTGCATCGGTGTCTGATGCGAAGATTCTTCGAAGAGAATTCTCGTACCTCAGTGTATCTATGTTACAATCGTATTTCTATTTTTCTCTGGACCGATTCTGATTTTGTTTTTTTTTCTTCCCCGATTTTGATTCGTTTTACAGATATATACGACTTGGTAAAAATTGCATCGAAAAATTGAAAAGTATTTTGCCGTATCAACTTTTCGAGCAACACGAGTAATAACTCTGATATGCGAGAAAGAAAATGTGTAAGGAATTTCTTTTCATCTTCCTATTATTTTTTGGAAATATTCTTCATAAAGAAATCTCCGTAACATTAAATAGTATTTTTTTCAACTTTATGAAGATTTCATTATCGGAAATGATTCGAGAGTTCTAGTAGTTATCGTCGTCGTGGCAGAGATTATAATTCATTTATTAGAGAAAGAAGAAAAATACGAGATAATAAAGAAAATGAATATCTCACTGAAGTAAAAAGGATTGTATTATGTAAATTCCTCGAGGAGAAATTTAGATAGGAATCGAAGAAGGTTGGAATCCGGATGGAAAATTGGCAGGATTCGGTGTGCGGATTTTGTTTAGAGACCTTGGTCTGAATTCAATTTATCCGGCTTGAATAACCGCGAAAGATTAATTCGGAATATGTATGAAATTTGCGGGAATGCAGGGGAAAATGGGCGTGTATGAATGAAGTTTGAATTGTACGGCGTGGAAATCGGGGGATTTGAAGGAGGGAGTTGTATATTTTGATGGGAGCTCGTTTTGTGTCACGAAATTGTATGAAAGGGAGTTTGCAATTGGAATCATAATTAATATCAACAGGTATCAAATTTATAGAAAATTTGTAATTCGAGTCATAATTAATATCGGCAAATATTAAATTTATCGCGAAACAAAGAAGTATTTATATATATATTC